TGTAAACTATTACTTCATTTATATTAAGTTTCTGTTAAGTAGTTAAATTAGACAATTTTACAAAGAAATTTGGACAATCTACAAAGAATAATAATAATGACATAACCTGGAATCTAGTAAACGCATTATGGTACACTGTAAAGTGAATGAGAATCTTCAGGAAGCAGAAAAATACCTAGAAAATAGTACAAACTAACTATTTAACAACAAGTGATACTTGAAAACTAAATAATATGATCAATGAAATAATGAAGAAAATAGAGGAACTAATGTTTGACTAATGTATGCCAGATTATCAAAACAGTTATTTTACACAAATGTTCAAATAAAGAAATCATTAATAACATTCAAAGTTACCTAGAGTGGAGTATATTCAACTTCTGAAAGATATTGCATATTTCAACTTTCGTGTTGATCCATGGTAAAAACTATACACTGAATGTTATTTTAAAATCTATAGTTAAATATTTTCCCTTTGTGGTCTTGCATAAAAGCTGACTAGAACAAATACTTTGGTTTGTTGAAGTTATGACCATAAGAAAGCTCAAAATCATCTTGTGTATTCGAAAACAATTTGTACTTACACTAAACTCACCCTGGTATTATTGATCCATTATCCTAAGTAACGGGAATCACGTTTTCTCTTTGTTTTTCTTTCATCTGTCAATTTGTCTAGTTGACCATTACTTTTCATAAATCAAATGTCTTAACCAGTGAGTATATGATCAGATTGTTAAAAATGTATAACATAATTCTGACAAACTACGTCCTCTACATTTGTCAGTTTCTTTGACAAGCCCAAATAATTATATACCTCAATCTGATACTATTACCTTCCAATCTTATTTGCTTTTGTTACTCATCATTCTTTGTTATGGGATTACATTATTGGTTGATCAGTGTTCAAGCTCCAGATCGGAAGTTCCCTTGTATCAGCTATAAGGCTGTAGAGACTTTTAGAGGCTTCCGGGTACAGGTTGTTGAATTAACCAGTTTCCAAAAAATACCCGTAGAGTGAAATTAGGAAAGTCATCTAATATTCTGATAACTGCCTTTCTCTTTAACAGGTATACAGTTCTCTCACCTTTAAATCAAGCACGGAATTACTTTCCAAACCCCAGCCTATTTGTTTCAAACTAAGAAAAACATTTTGCGTTCCAGGTGAAAAGCCTACTAAAATCTTATTTTTCATGAAGTCGGAGTTTGTAGCCACGATAGGAAAATAATACTTACCTAACTATTAAACAAACCCCGGATAAATAATTTGCATAGAGTTGTTACTTATTTAATCTTTTTAACTTTCCGATATTATAATGAAGAGAAACTAGTTTTTATTTCAGAAATAAGTGATAAAACAATGACGCCAGGAAAAGACAAAGTCTAAATAAATTTGTTATGTTATTTTGGGCTGGATTTTGTTACCAGTAAATTTATAAAAAGAACCAGAAAAACTCATTACAATTTAATCATATAGGATGAAAAGAAAGTCTGCAAGAAGCAAGTGAATAAAGTATTTACAATTATAAGCAGGGCGTTAGATAATCAATACTAGTCATGCACATAAATAACGATTCAATAGTAGTTTTCTTATATAAATGCTACAAACAACAGGCACTGTAGGGAAAGCGCTACGCCTCCAATAAACCTAAGATCTGTTCATAGGGATAAGATTTTAGTTATAGTTTCTCGAAGCAATTAAGTAAGGTTGTATTTTTCTAGTTATTTTGGGTGAAGTTTAGAAATTGCACCCTACGAAAACACAAAAAAAGAATGGTGGAATTTTATTTTTATTTTTTAAATGCGCTTTGATCTTCTTACTGAGTTGAACTTTTAAGTCTTAGAAACGAGTTTGTTTGTTTCGAATCGCTTACTTAAAACATTAAGATGTCGATTTTCCAAGAAAAATATTTGAACATTTTGGTTGTTAATTAATCATGATTTAAGTATGCAGTCTCTAATCAGTTACAACCACTATTATAATTAAATGGTTATTTTTGAAAAGAAATACGAAAAGCACTCGCTATTTATTTTGGTATTTGAATTTACAACTAATTAGTGTTTGTGACTAGCCTTTATTACTTGTGAATGCATAACATAGATAAAACTTAAAAGCGGTTACATTTAGTGTCTCTATAACCTACATTAATAAAGTCAGTGATACAGTAGATTTCTGTACTCGGATTCCAGGTACACCTACCTTTACTCAATTACCCGAATCAGAGGAGCTCTATTCGCCAAATTATTATGACAAGAAGAGTATCAGATGACCACGTGAGACTGCTACAAGACAAGGGGACATTTTCAGAAATGACAAATGGGATAAGTCAATGAATTATGAGTACAGCGATTCCATTTGCATTAATTATTACTCAATGAATGGAATATATATATATATTCATCCCTCATAATTAGTCTTCGACTTTTTCATCGTGTATTACAAATGCAAACGATTTTAATCTAGAAAATTCTGTTCCAAGGCCCCTGAAACCACGCCTCAAACAATATATTGAGGCTTTTAGTATCCGAACCCTATGTTCAGTCGGATAACAGACGTCACTGGCTAGGTCCCTAGAAACTCGTACCATCGATGTAGGCTGCATATCGAAAAAAACCCATACGGGATTCTAGAATGGTTGCCCACTTGACCCCACCTAGCCCATGGAGCAGCTAACTTGATACACACCTCGTGTACTTAGAAACACGATAGTAAATTATCGTGGCTTCACCGATGTAAATATAACACTACGTCTGAAAGTTAAACTCATTACCTGGATTCTCATCGACAGTCGCTTATGTATTGCCCACCACAATGGCACAGTAAGAACTTGGAAATATATGGATACATGCTGTTTCCGCTTCATCGTTCGTGCATACGGCACCACTGGTTACAGGTTGAAAGGAGTAAAAAACGAGTTTTGCAGGAAACTCAATGATCTCCTTCAGGAAGCCAGACGTAGTAGAAGATTTTAACACCGAAGCCAAACCAAAAAGCACTTAAGTGGATCTTATGGAATCCCAACCCAAAGAACAGTTAACGGTGGTCGTTTACTACAGTTCTGCCCGGACGACAGACTACTCCTAGTAGGTGCAAACCTCAAACATAAGGAGAGTCTCTAATGTGGTAACACACATCAACACGACGATGAACATAAACAGATTATATCGCCATCAACCATCGTTGGAGAGACTCGATAAAAGACTACTGGACATGTTTGGACTCTGATCATGCCTTAGTGAAAGCATACATCCCTGTGGGTTTAATCAGATACGGGAAAATCATAGAACCCTTAGGTAAGATTTTAAAGATGAAAAGATCAAGGTTGTATCCACGAGAGAACTAGCTAGCCACCTATTCAGACGTAAAGGCAATTTGTCCGGGAGAATTTTGGAAAGATATACAAGGACCTTTGAATACAGCATTGACATTTATCAGCAACTTAGATCAAACGGATAAGAAAGACCGGTAAGTTTCGGTGACATTCTGTGAATTAATGGAGACTCAAAAACTCGTTCCGAAAAGTTCGGAGGACGATGAGGAGAGACAAAACTCACATAAAGCTTACGCAATGGTTATGACGAAAGGTTGGTAACGACAGTAAAATGTTATGGAAAAAAGAGGAGATAGGTAGTGCTGGACAACTCTTCCTACTTATCAAGGAAACGGGTATTAAAAAGACAGATGTTGGTGAGACAGTTTGGAAGAAGAACGGAACTATCGTTCACTCTTGATATCATATTAGATAGATAGACAGAACACCTAAGGGGGCAGTTTAACTGGCCTCTAGCTAACCTTCAGTTACCTTTTATTCTCAATTAAACTGAACGGAAGATTGGCACGAGTTTCCCAGCTCCTAATGAAGTTGGAAGGGCTATAGGCAATCTGAAACGAGGGTAGCATGTGCCTGTGGATTTCTGACCCCCTCAAGGCTGGTGGTTCAGTCCTAGCATTTAGACTCAAATATTAACTAGAATCCTGGAAATGGATATAGTCCCATTTGACCGGTTCCGATAGCTCGTCGTCCCAGTCTATAAGAGAGGATACGAACTCTCCTTGCGATAAACACGGAAGAATCAGTTTTACTCACATAATGTCCAAAATATTAACCCCAAAATGAAGTCACCGACTGTTGTTCTGAGACATGTTGTATGAAGTAAGCTACCTGGTTGGGGTCAGTGTAATAACTGCGAACTGTAGTTGGAGACTGGATGACACGACTCACAATCGTTCACAATGGCGTAGGTGTGCTCAGATTTCATCTTTCTCATGATCTTGAATTCCAATACTTATTTACACACACCCATCTACTCTGCCTTTTAAAACCATGTTCCTAAAGTTTGGTTATTCATTTTATGATTGATACTATATTCCTTCAATCTCTTACGTTATCTTCATCTTGCCATGCTAATCAGGTATGGCTAATGAGGCCCAAGTAAATCTGTACCTGACTTTATGCTGATGTCTGTCTGTTTGGATTGTTACAATTAGCATTACCAGAGAGAAGAATCAACAAGGGGAAAATAATTGTATCAGTGGTGGTAAGAAACATGGAAGACACTGATGGTTACTCAGCATACTCATTTGACAGATAATTTATTCATTTATTTGAACACAAATATTGGTACAAGAGGACACCAAATATATATACACCACACAAAAAATTTTCATTTCATTTGTGTGAGGGCTATGATACTGTCCGGGTGCCTAGACCGAAGCAGGTGGTTTTCTTAGGGGGCCACACCCAGAGCCTTTGACCTAAAGGTCTGATCCATAAGACAGTAGAGCATCGTAAGGAGATGCAGTCCCATAGTAGCCGGTGAGCAACGATTGATTCATACGCTATTTGTTCCCTCAGGATACTGGAGCCCATGTGCATTATTAGTTTGGAATCAGGGTTTTTCAACTCCCCTATATGGACTTCCTGTGTCTACCGACCCGGTTAAAGCACCGGACATTCGCTTTTCATCCTCTCAATTTCGTAAACAACATCCCCACCACGAGAAGGCAGTGAGTAGGACTTCCCTGGGATAGACTGTATGGGCGTGGCCGTGTGAGAGCATTTCGAGAGGGTGGACCCTCCACTCTCTCGGCCGTACCAGGGCATTTAGGGACTCATTTGACAGATGGAAAAATATGTCACGTTAATTACAGCTGAAACGAGTTGGCAAAAGTAAGTATTTTCCCACTCGGGCAACCATTTGGTCAGTCGTCAATTCAACAGGCTCGATAAGACTTTCAAGATAAACGATGGCATTGATACAAACTAATTCCTGAGCAACATTTCGCATTGAAAGATAAAGATATCTCATCATTTAATAAAGTACAATATGTGGTTAGAACGCCAGTAACCTATAGAAACTAAGAAATCATCACTAGTGATAAATAACTGACACAGGAGGAAACGATTAGAATCAACACATACTCCAGTTCCTTAACTTTTAGAAAAAATTATGTTTTCCAACAAGAAAATACACCCGAACAACACACTTTACGAAAGCAATAGGTAATTGTGAGTTGCATTTCACTGAGAGTTCAAAGTACTAACGGTGCACTATCCTGCCGTAAATACACACATTAGTGATACATATGGTCCCCTAGAAGTAACGTAAGACTTGTTACATACATACGTCGATTCAGGTTGATAAAGAATGACAGTAACGAAACGAAATTACGAAGACAAATTTCTGAGTGGTAGAAGCAGCGACGGTATTAATAGAAAACAAGGTATGGATAACATGATTTGAGGAGAGCGAAATCGAGAAAATGTATGAGATTTCGACATTCAGGACATATCGAAAATAAAACGAATACATTCAAGTTGTTGAAACTGATTGTGAGACATATCACCCAACGCCTCCAACCACCAGATATGATAACTGCGACGACTCCAGTTAGACAGTCTTAACCTACCAACACAAGTCAGTCTAACAGTCGATAGATTCATGGACAGACGCAACGTCTTCATTCGGCCTCTCCGAGCTTTCTTTCAACCTAATCATACACTAACAAAACCCCGAGTCAAGGCAGGCGGTAGTTGGGCATGATTGCAGCTTCTCAGTCGAAGTAGTATTGGCTAGGTTCACACATATGTTGTTGAAATCTAAAATATCTCAGTTAAAAATATCAGTATACCTTCAGATGACAATGACCGAAGGAAATCGACGACACTTTGACGAACGAACATCATGATGAGGTTACGGAATTCCATGAAAACACTAAATTGTGGGAGCTAACAAACTGAAGACTCAGAAGACGCTCTATATGGGAGAATACAGAGCGTCGAGTACCAAAATAACGAAACAAGTGTAAGATTTCACAACTTGTATTTATACGGACATCTTAATAGAATTAATAGGAAAACGTTTGTGATGTGTATAACGATGAAAAGCTAATCAATGACAAAATGAGGTAAGTACAATGAAAATACGGTGCCTACATTTTCAAATACAACATATGGAGATTATCGTACAATGATAAGCATGAGTTAATAATAGGGCAGAGATGTCTGTACATTATTTTATGTTGGACAAAACAAATGGAGGCAAAACGGAAAGATTTTGTGCGTTAAAATTTGCAAGTACAAAGAAGCATAAAACTTAAAACATTAAATTATAAGATCTTAACCATAATGTAGAAAGAGTGGAGTAAATAAAGGACATAAATAACATATATTCATCAGGTTGCTGAATAGTTAACGTCTGAGGACTGTACATTTTAAAAATCATTACCAAATTACTGGTTCGTATCATTTCCACGGACCGTGGAAACTGGCAACTCACAATGATATGGTGGAAATTCATTTGTCTTCGAGTTTAGAGTTCCTCGGAGGAGTAACAGGCCATCCGGAATTGAGAGACCGGAAGTTGAACTTTTTCTTATCTGCGGGTTTTAATATCTATGTGCAATGGTGAGAAAAGTTTACAAAGTTCTCACCTGAAAGGAACAAGTAAGGGTTTCGTCAACAGACATCATAGCGCCAGCGTTATCGAATTCTCCACAATAGTTTGGAGCAGAAAATAGAGTTACGAGCTGGCGTTTGGCGAAAAACTCGTAACCATCTTCCACGACCTAGCAAATTAAAGTAGTTATTATGGGGTTTAACCCTACCTGATGTGCTCTGCAGATGAGGTCCAATTCGTGACTGTGAAGGAACTTGGTGACAATATCTGCACCAAACGTATAACTAACACCACGGTCATTTTCCCCCCATCCAGTAATATCCTTATCTGGATCGGACCAAAGCAGGTCACACAGCAAACCTTGTTCCGGGACATCGGTTGGGCGCATAATCCTACGGATTTGCTCCATAGAGTGGAGGTCAGGGGAGAGGCCTGTGTACTTACAAGTATAGGTTGTGACCTACCACCATGGCAGCAGAAGATTTTTTCATCCACTATAGCGACTATTGGTAAGCAGTTGAAACAATCAGTGAACGTTTTCCACAACTTTATATTGTACCTCCGCTTACCTGGATAATCAAATTAATTGGAATGGTCTGCTTACATTCATCGTAAAAGCCGTATATGCGATTGATTGATGCGCACTCATGATTTCCACGAAGAAGGAAAAAGTTTTCAGGATATTTTATTTTATAGGCCAGTAAAAGACAAATAGTTTCGAGGGACTGTTTGCCACGATCAACGTAGTCACCCAAGAACAAATAATTCGCATCTGGTGGGAAGCCTCCATACTCGAACAAACGGAGGAGGTCGTAATACTGCCCGTGAATATCGCCACAAATCTTTAATGGTGCTTCAAGTTCCAGCAGAATGGGCTGTCGAAGGAAAATTTCCCTTGACTTCAGAGCTAGGCCCCTTATTTCTGCTTCAGATAGTTGCACATTCTTTCCTGGACGAGACCCACGGACTATGCAGTGCACAAAATACACGTAAATTGAAACTCATCACGAAATACCTTCTAAAAGCCTCGATATCAAACTGTCGATGTTCAACTTATCCGACTCAGCCATAAATCACCAGCATAAATGACCTTCACTCACGATCTAATTAGTTGGTGATTTAAAATAACCAATACAATATCCAATATCTTTAACACGAGCCTTTATAAACTATCCCATTGATACGCATGGGGTTGGTTAATTGTAACATGAAAATAATAAGGCGATAATTTGAATGTTAGATTATTGTTTCAAAAATAAATAAATAAGCTAGTTAGTTGGTAATGTGTATGAAGAAGGGGTTGAAAGAATGGGTGGAGAAATGAGGATGCTGATGATGAGAGACATCGTAAGTAGTTGTCTGTTATGCGGAAACGATAACTGTGGTAATTTATGCGACATGCACAAGACACAGCTGGTCCAAGAAGAAGATTGTAGTCCATGGGTGATTACGCGTTTGTCAAGTTCAACAATGGAGCTGTGGTCACTTCGTCTGAGACAGCATTCTGTATAGAGGCAACTGATGGTGGGAAAAATCAAGAGCGTTCTTGGGTGTTCACTTTTTGATGTGCAATCTTCCGAGAGTTGTCCTGGGGAGCGTGGTGATAATGTTCTGGTGATATGCTTGTGTCAGGGTGGATTGATGTGCTTAATATGTTCTATGCCATTACCAGATCACCTTTTGTTCTCCCGTAAACCAGAGAGAATAATCCCAAGTGCTGGAGTCTGTCTTCGTAAGAATTATGTTGTAGCCCTATCACCCACTTTGTACCTGGTCTAAGAGACCTATATCTCTTTTAAAGAAAGGGGCAGGAAACGACGTTGTGGACTTCAAAGTGTGGCCATGAGTACGTTTTGAGCTATGTTGGTAACAACTCTTGGGCTTTTGCACCAAATTGTCTTCGTACAGATTATGGAGTTGCATTTGCCTTGTCTGCATCCTCCATGTAGTTGAAGATGGTATGTAAACTCTATATGGTTGCAAGATTGAGATCATGCCATGGGGAGACAAACGGGGGCGGATTTTCACGTAGAGTGTAAGCGCTTTGCGCCTAATGAGACACAACGTTCATGACATGACATTTGCAAGCTTACGTTTTAACTCATTGCATACTACCATGTAACTCTGCCTGTAGCTCTTGTATGGTTACCAACGATCCCAAGCCCGGGTAAAGGAGGATGGTCGAGCATGAGTTCAGCAACTACATCCCATAGAAAACAACCTTCCAAATAAAACGCTAACTAGAATGAACAAATTAAAACAATAGCTTAATTTTCTGCTCCAAACTATTGTGGAGAATTCGATAACGCTGGCGCTATGATGTCTGTTGACGAAACCCTTACTTGTTCCTTTCAGGTGAGAACTTTGTAAACTTTTCTCACCATTGCACATAGATATTAAAACCCGCAGATAAGAAAAAGTTCAACTTCCGGTCTCTCAATTCCGGATGGCCTGTTACTCCTCCGAGGAACTCTAAACTCGAAGACAAATGAATTTCCACCATATCATTGTGAGTTGCCAGTTTCCACGGTACTTGGAAATTCGGCGTTTAATGGGATTTTTCCGAATAATATGAGTGGACGACTAAGAGCTGGCACTGGATTTAGGTCAAGGTTCTAGATTAAGGATGTAATTTCTAGAGTTTAAGGTCACTTTTGAACTTTTAATCTGGAATTTATTGTTTGGAGAAGTAATTTAGGGTAAGGTTAAGCAATTTTTAATTGAGAGTTTCAGTTGCAGTTTGGTATTGTGTATAACACTTAATAGATTATATATGGTCTACACTCCATCCTGAGCGATTTCTACAACCATGGTTGGATGGCTAAGAGTTAACTGGAAACCTACTATTCAAGAAAAAACTTCAGAGAGTGTTCAGGGATATTTATCTCCTTCATGAACGTAGGATTTAGATTTTTTTATTTTAGTCTATTTAGTGATGAAATATCATATGTGTGACGGAGGACATTGGGCTGTGGCTCCCGAACACCTAGGAATTATAAGCGTTGTGACCGAACTATTTTAGCTTTTTCCCGACCTCTCAGAATATTTAATATGTAAGGACATCGATTTTACTTGTTAATAGCCCTGCGTTTCAAATCTTGAACGTGACCATAGCACATCTTTGAACTTTGTGTTTTAGGATCAATGTGGTCAAATAAATAATGGAGTTTTGAGAACTTTTTATCTATCCAGGCCGACTGAAAGTAGGCACAATTGACTCATGATCTCAACTCTATAAATTACTTAAATCTCCACAAAACCCCTTCTGATAATGATCATGTGCTCATTAGTGACTGACACCTTGAGGTATTTCCTGGAGTCCTAGTGAGAAGCAGTAACCGGTGGAGTTCAACCAGGTCTGTTGTGAGATAGTAACTCACTGATGACATTGGTGAATGGTTGCTCAATTTCGTGAATCAGTTGAAGTTAGACATTAACACCGTTGGATGCCAGCTCAGTGGTCTATCGGTTAAGGGCTTCGGCTCGAAACTGGTAGGTCCTGGGTTCGAATCTCGCGAGAGTGGGTTCGTGGATGCGCACTGCTGAGGAGTCCCATAATAGGACGAAACGGCCGTCCAGTGCTTCCAGGTTTTCCATGGTGGTCTAGCTTCAATTGACTCATGATCTCAACTCTACAAATGAAAATAACTGTAAACAAGATAGACTACATTGTCAAGAAAATATAACTGAAACTGGATGCGAGCTTCTCTAAAATACAATCAAGAGCATGACGTCTATAAAGAGAAGCGTTCAACGACGAAGTCCTGGTTATTTCTGAAGATATGGCTCCAGGCTCTCGGAGTTGTGTGCGCCTGCTATTTATGTTGTCATTCATGCAGCGGCCCGTTGCCTATTCCGTGGGTTTACTGATCAGTTTAGGTGTAACTACCTAAGTTTGGTAGTCAAGAGTTAGCCGATCACTTCATACCAGTATAATAAAATCATAGTTTATGTATTTATTTACTTCCCTTTTAGTGTAGGGGTCTTATTTTTATTAGTTTATATCAAATGTTGAGAGGTTTGTGTACTCAAAATAAGATTCTCGCTATCCAATTGTATAACTGCACGATGACAGACTTGGTACAATCACCCTTATGCTTTTTAACATCTAATAGACGTGGAATAAATGTAGGTGCAACACATTTATTCACAGTATATTATGGTTTATCGTATGGTGTTACATATGAATGAATGGTATGTATATATAATAATGATAACTTCTAAGTGTCGTAGGTTACAGGAGGCACAATAAATTTGAAATGGCGAATATATAGTCTACCTTCTCACGTTCAACTCGAAAATACACATTTTTTTCGTTTGAATAAACAATACTTCTAGTAGAAGTGATACGTATTTGTAAGTGTAGATACCAAGTGTTTCAAAAGGATACTAATTCGGTCAGTTATGTGGAGATTGTCGATGCATATTAGGCATCTGCTGTCTCAAAAACTTTTTGTTTACATGAAAATTGTTATAAAATTGTCTAAGTATAGTGGACAGATTGGTGTCGCACGAAATTTTTCAGAGTGTTTTAATTGAAAGATTACGCAAATGAACGGTATTTCCATAAAAAAGCCTTGGAAGACTGGGACACCATGTAGAAACTGGGTAAAAACGCTGAAACCGATGTGAACTTTGTGTTGTGTGATATTTGTACTAACTGATGGTTACTATGTAATTGACAGAACGTTCATTAAGAACTGAAAGTATAGTACGTCCAGTTTTGCTCATCTACTTTTACCTGTTCTAAATTGCATTATTTAAGAAATTCTTAATCAGTAAATCAGAGTGAATACTTTGAATTATTACAATTCGTTTCAAGAAAGAGATCAACGTCAGCCAAAATCTTATGAAGCACTTTGGGTAAAATACTCAGCCATTGTTGAGCCATGACTTTTATGTAGCGTTGCATCAGTTTTTTTTGGAGGGATTTACTCGATTTTAGGGTTTATATTAGATCTAAAGTACTCTGAAAACCAATTGTAACTGTTGAAAAGTATGGATTTTTAATAATTTTTTCCCTTTACAGACAGTCTGAGAAAAGGAAATTGATGGAAAATATTAAAACTATCACATGGTTAGTAGCTGACAGTCACATTTTCATTTAATGCACTAGCTGCAAGGAGAAACTTTAAAATTTTTATCTTGTTACTGTGAGTGTAGTAGTATATCTAATCAACCCGAAGATATTCGTGTATTGATGGCCACTTGATAAAGCAATATGTAGGGCTAAGGGTAATCTTAAGTGAGTGCACCTATGTAGATGCGAGAACTACAATTACTTCATTGTGGGCCTTCTAAGCTAAATGAATACGATACTTACCCATTACTGAGCAAAATAACACGAACCAAGTCTAAAGTAAAGCTGTTTAATGGTATATTATTATCGAAATAATATAACGGAGAATAAAGGTTGTAAATAATTAACTAGGATAAAGGACCAACTATCAAAAGGATTTGGATTAACAGTTATAATACAGGTTATTACAAATCTTTGGATAACAGCGTATTGTTCCTGGAATAGGAGGGCATGAGATATGTACAAAAAGAGGGAAACAATTATCAAGTAAATGGTTCAAATGGTTGAGGACGGAATAGAAGAAGCTTTCGCTTAACGGGCTTCCGTGTCTGGTAGCAGTGGATCACCAATACCTCCAGGCAAGAACCTAGGTATATGAACGATAATAGAGGGAGAAAAAAAAGAATTTGGTAAATCATAATAATATGTTATCCTTAGTCCTTAAGAATAAGTCAAGTTTTCTCTTAAAGGACTCCTGGGAGGTCGCTTGGACTAGCTCAGTTGGCAGCGAATTCCAGCACTTGACAACTCTAACGGAGTAGAAGTTGTGTCTGCAGTCTGTTCTGCTATGTAGGGTCTCCAATTTCTGGGTGTTACCTCTGAGGTTAGTGTTATGACTAAGCTTAAGAAGGTGTTTAAGGGGATGACCAGAAGTATTAAGGATACTATAAGTCATAAGAAGATCACCTCTAAGACGCCTATACTCTAACGGGTAAAGGTTAAGTGATTTGAGGCGCTCTTCATAAGATTTGAATTTGAGACCCCGAACTGATTTCGTGGCTCGACGTTGTATACGTTCCAGAGTGACCTTATCCTTTTGGAGGGAGGGAGGAAATACTATGTTTCCGTACTCTAAGTGGGGACGAATAAAACTGTTGAAGATTATGTGGAAGGTTCTACCGTCAAACTGGCCAAAAATGCGCTTCAATGTTACCAGTGCA